GTGTGTGTGTGTGTGTACGTGCTGGTGCATCGAATAAACCACAGTATCATCGATACTGTTATTGTACCCATTATTCATACCACTCTTGAAACCACACACCGATTCTGAAACAACATACCACCATTATACGTCATATCGCTCACTTTAATAAACACTACTAGTTAAAAATAAAACAATTTTATAAACGAAACAAAATACTCCTGCTGTATTTGTGCTCAGTGAGCATGTTTTTAAATAGACTAGAAGATTCAGTGCACGTTTTCTACCCTTTTAAAAAAATCTTTGTAATAAATTGCAAGACAGACATCAATTTCTGCTCAACATTTGTGACGCTAACGCACACTATCTTGATTTAAATCTGGGTAGAACGCAGCTAATGGAAGATTTATTTTGGATGTAAACGTTCCAGATTTTGGCCGTAAAATTAAATGGATGTATGGGCGTGGTCAGTCAGGTAGTGAACTGCAGGGTTGGGCAATAGCTGGCATGGGTTCAAATCTTCAGGAATTGGGTCAGCTCTGTATGTTGTCGGTGTTGGACAAACTACTGACATGCAGTATGACAAACTACTGACATGCAGCATGACAGTATGACAAACTACTGACATGCAGCATGACAAACTACTGACATACAGCATGACATTATGACAAACTACTGACATACAGCATGACAGTATGGCAAACTACTGACATGCAGCATGACATTATAACAAACTACTGACATACAGCATGACATTATAACAAACTACTGACATGCAACATGACAGTATGACAAACTACTGACATACAGCATGACATTATAACAAACTACTGACATGCAGCATGACAAAGTACTGACATGCAACATGACAGTATGACAAACTACTGACATACAGCATGACAGTATGACAAACTACTGACATACAGCATGACATTATAACAAACTACTGACATGCAGCATGACAAACTACTGACATGCAACATGACAGTATGACAAACTACTGACATACAGCATGACATTATAACAAACTACTGACATGCAGCATGACAAACTACTGACATGAAGCATGACAGTATGACAAACTACTGTCATTCTGCATATCCGATTATACAAATAAATATCGTAAACATTATCTAAATAATTCATATAGCCAAAGACAGCGTAGAGCGCTAGACTGCTAACCCGTAAGTCTCGAGTTCGAATCCGGGTTCAAGTCAGTAGACTGTCCCTGAGTCCACCCAACTCTGGTGGGTACCTAACTCACGTTAGGGTAAGTAAAGGCGGCTGTGCGTAGTGCTGACCACACTATTTCTTCATATGCCGAGGTCACAGAAACAGTTGAACTCTACTTCACTTGTCCGATGGACCGTCAGATTCGAAAAGGGAACTTTTGAAGACGTAAAATAATTACAAAATAAAATAGAATTCTTTATGTCGACTTGAGAAACAGCGACTTTCAAAGTCCAATACTAATTTTTTTACTGTCTGATTACTTTTTACGTGTACAAGAATGTAAAATAGTAGATTAAAACGCATCTATAGGGAATACAAATAAAATAATTATAAAATAATTATCTTAACTCATTCCGTCTTACGATGATAGCACTGTAAATTGTAGCTTTCCTGATTTTAAAATTACTCCACTTTAGTAACTTGATGTTTTAAACAAACTTTTAATAAAAAATATAATATAATATAAATGCTATTACAATTTATTGTATCGTGTAATCTATTTCTTTAGATTTCTAAAAACTAGAAAAAAGAATATGTAAAAAACCAGCAAACAAAACGAGATCCATTTCTGTTTTTTATGTGCCTACAAATATAAACTTGGCAGCCCTCGAGTTACCCCACTTTAATGACTAGATGTAATTAAAGTTTTAAAAAATTATCACAGTGTTGGCCAACTTGAAATGATTGAAGTTAACGAAAAGATTAAATTCAGAACCGCTTCTGTTGTTTCAATTGTAGGCTGGGCCTAAACAATCCCATTGTTTGGGTGGGGCAGAATGATTAATTAAACTGGCGTAGATCGTAACCCACACAGATACATTTAAATGATCACACATACCTGTATTTATTAATATATATTGATATATTATTTATTTATTTATGTATTTATTAATATATATTCATGAAGTAGTGGTACATACAGATAAAAACAACGTATTCATAATATTAAATAGCTAACAGGATATATACTTAAGACTTATAAAATACATATTTGACCTTTAGTCATATATATATATATATATATATATATATATATATATATATATATATATATATATATATATATATATATATATAAATATATATATTTCAAAGTATCTCCACTTTAACCCTAAACCCAACATAACTCTGCCTTTATCCTAGGCTAACACTAGCCTAAACCAGCGTGTTAGCCTAAGGAACAAGGACGTCAGCCAGCCTGCTGTGAGCTACCAGTTGCCCAACCCCAGCCCACCAGCCGAGGCCTTGTCCTGTCAATATGTCTTATTGTGTGTTAAAAGAAGGCTAAATATTCATGATTTAATACCCCACATATTTAACCAAACCAGGCGAGACCAGTCCTTTAACATCAAGTGCTTTCCATCCGATTGTACCATCTGCCAAATTTTTCTCTTTAAAACCACGTTGTTCGTTCTCCGACTCGAGATCTCCTATTCAGATCTCGGCTCTTATGAAGCGTGCAAAAAGCTGTAAAGAAAGTGACGTTAAAAGTTCGCTCTCGCCTTGTGCCGATCCGTTGTTTCCTTTGGGCGGATGGACTTAGTTATAAACAGTTAGTCCGCTGATAAAATGGAGTAACGGCCCTTTGAGCACTGGGCCGTCTATAGCCATGGCCGCCAACATAAAGGGCGGTAATTTGTTAAGTGCATTAAAAATCTCGCTTTCGCATCACTTTTGTCAGCGTTCATTCAATCGTTTGAACCCGGAGCTTCGGGGAATGACAGGCATTGAAGACCTAGAGGGTCCTAAACTTTTTAACCCCCTCCCTCCCCCTACACATTTCAATATTTTGTGAAAAGCCCCCATTAGCAAAGGACATGAAATCATCAAACGTAGCAGAGCATTAGCAGACGATAAGACACAAGCTAAAGGTGATAAGACACAAGTTAAAAGTGATAAGATACAAGCTAAAAGTAATAAGTAACAAGCCACAAGTCATAAGGCACAAGCTAAAAGTGATATTGATAAGACACAAGCTAAAAGTGATAAGACACAAGCTAAAAGTGATAAGACACAAGCTAAAAGTGATAAGACTCAAGCTAAAAGTGATAAAACACAAGTTAAAAGTGATAAGACACAAGCTAAAAGTGATGAAACACAAGCTAAAAGTGATAAGACACAAGTATAAGACACAAGCTAAAGGTGATAAGACTCAAACTAAAAGCATCTGACATCCATTTGTATAGCAGTCTAAAACTAATGTAGTCGTTTAAAGAGCACTGACCACTTTTAAAACTGTATGTTAGTGAATTTACCCCCCCCCCCCAACCCAACCTTACCACTCCCCCCTCCCTATAGAAACCAACCTGTTAATTTTTGCGGCACTTTAGGAACGGTATAGTGATCATATTCGGTGTAGGGGAAGTTATTCTTTTGTTTTATATGTCTCTATCTATTTACACACACATAATATACACACACATATACACACACATATACACACACACACACACCCATATATATATATGAATATATATATATATATATATATATATATATATATATATATATATATATATATATATATATATATATATATATATATATGTATATATATATATATATATATATATATATATAATTCCTGTATATTTGGGCCACCTGTATTGAAGGATTGCCATACCACCTGGTAGCAAATATTTTCTCTCTACCTTTACTAGCCCTGGGGCAAACTTTTCAATTAGTTACACCTGTAGTTGGTGATTTCAAACACAGCGTCTTATGTTCAACCACCGAACAACAACTTCACCCCATTGAAATAAACCACAGTAACGTTTGCCTCTAAACTAATGACCACGTCCACACCTCGCTCGAATTGTATCGTTTCTAAAACACGGCGCACTTTGGCTTTAAGACTGGCTAGACATTGTATGCGCCATTTACTGAAAGTTCTCGACCTTACGCACAAAATGGAAGCTTTTGGCAGCAAATTTAATATAAATAAAGGAACAAAATTCCCGTTTTATATAGGACTTTTTAAGGACGTTGTAGCCAACATTTCGCGATTTCATGGCCTGAAGAGTGCTTTAAGATTGAATACCGTACTTGTTCACTATTTTGGCGAGGCAGGCCAAAGCTCTCCATTGGCGGTGGAGCCGTAGGGATGGATGATGGATGATGGATGCCTTCTTACCTGAAGGTGACATCCGTACTGTTGAAGGTAGATGACATGAAGGTTCTTGTATTTAAATGACATCCATGCTTTTGTATTGGGATATTCATCCGTAATGATACAGGTAAATGACGTGAAGGGTTCTAGTTGTTAGATGTCATCCGTAATGATACAGGTAAATGACGTGAAGGGTTCTAGTTGTTAGATGTCATCCGTAATGATACAGGTAAATGACGTGAAGGGTTCTAGTTGTTAGATGTCATCCGTAATGATACAGGTAAATGACGTGAAGGGTTCTAGTTGTTAGATGTCATCCGTAATGATACAGTTAAATGACGTGAAGGGTTCTAGTTGTTAGATGTCATCCGTAATGATACAGTTAAATGACGTGAAGGGTTCTAGTTGTTAGATGTCATCCGTAATGATACAGTTAAATGACGTGAAGGGTTCTAGTTGTTAGATGTCATCCGTAATGATACAGTTAAATGACGTGAAGGGTTCTAGTTGTTAGATGTCATCCGTAATGATACAGGTAAATGACGTGAAGGGTTCTAGTTGTTAGATGTCATCCGTAATGATACAGTTAAATGACGTGAAGGGTTCTGGTTGTTAGATGTCATCCGTAATGATACAGGTAAATGACGTGAAGGGTTCTAGTTGTTAGATGTCATCCGTAATGATACAGGTAAATGACGTGAAGGGTTCTAGTTGTTAGATGTCATCCGTAATGATACAGGTAAATGACGTGAAGGGTTCTAGTTGTTAGATGACATCCATGCCATTGTATTTGAATGACATTCGGGCTCCCAGCCGATACTTCAGCTCCGAGGTACACCTCAGCCTACACCCCAGCTCACATCTACACCTCAGCTCCCAGTACACTCCAGCTCCCAGCCTACACCCCATCTCCCAGCCTACACCTCATCTCCCAGCCTACACCCCAGCTCCCAGCCTACACCACAGCTCCCAGCCTACATCCCAGCTCCCACCTACACCCCAGCTCCCAGCCTACACCCCAGCTCCCAGCCTACACCCCAGCTCCCAGCCTACACCCCAGCTCCCAGCCTACACCCCAGCTCCCAGCCTACACCCCAGCTCCCAGCCTACACCACAGCTCCCAGCCAACATCCCAGCTCCCAGCCTACACCCCAGCTCCCAGCCTACACCCCAGCTCCCACCTACACCCCAGCTCCCAGCCTACACCCCAGCTCCCAGCCTACACCCCAGCTCCCAGCCTACACCCCAGCTCCCAGCCTACACCACAGCTCCCAGCCTACACCCCAGCTCCCAGCCTACACCCCAGCTCCCAGCCTACACCGCAGCTCCCAGCCTACATCCCAGCTCCCAGCCTACACCCCAGCTCCCAGCCTACACCACAGTTCTCAGCCTACATCCCAGCTCCCAGCCTACACGTCAGCTCCCAGCCTACACCCCAGCTCCCAGCCTACACCACAGCTCCCAGCCTACACCCCAGCCTACACCCCATCTTCCAGCCTACAACCCAGCCTACACCCCAGCTCCCAGCCTACATCCCAGCTCCCAGCCTACACCCCAGCTCCCAACCTACACCCCAGCTCCCAGCCTACATCCCAGCTCCCAGCCTACATCCCAGCTCCCAGCCTACACCCCAGCTCCCAGCCTACACCACAGCTCCCAGCCTACACCCCAGCTCCCAGCCTACACCACAGCTCTCAGCCTACATCCCAGCTCCCAGCCTACCCGCCAGCTCCCAGCCTACACCACAGCTCCCAGCCTACATCCCAGCTCCCAGCCTACACCCCAGCTCCCAGCCTACACCACAGCTCCCAGCCTACACCCCAGCCTACACCCCATCTTCCAGCCTACAACCCAGCCTACACCCCAGCTCCCAGCCTACACCCCAGCTCCCAACCTACACCGCAGCTCCCAGCCTACATCCCAGCTCCCAGCCTACACGCCAGCTCCCAGCCTACACCACAGCTCCCAGCCTACACCCCAGCTCCCAGCCTACATCCCAGCTCCCAGCCTACACCACAGCTCCCAGCCTACACCCCAGCCTACACCCCATCTTCCAGCCTACAACCCAGCCTACACCCCAGCTCCCAGCCTACACCCCAGCTCCCAACCTACACCGCAGCTCCCAGCCTACATCCCAGCTCCCAGCCTACACCCCAGCTCCCAGCCTACACCACAGCTCCCAGCCTACACCCCAGCTCCCAGCCTACATCCCAGCTCCCAGCCTACACCCCAGCTCCCAGCCTACACCACAGCTCCCAGCCTACACCCCAGCTCCCAGCCTACATCCCAGCTCCCAGCCTACACCCCAGCTCCCAGCCTACACCACAGCTCCCAGCCTACATCCCAGCTCCCAGCCTACACCCCAGCTCCCAGCCTACACCACAGCTCCCAGCCTACACCCCAGCTCCCAGCCCACACCCCAGCTCCCAGCCTACATCCCAGCTCCCAGCCTACACCCCAGCTCCCAGCCTACATCCCAGCTCCCAGCCTACACCACAGCTCCCAGCCTACACCCCAGCCTACACCCCATCTTCCAGCCTACAACCCAGCCTACACCCCAGCTCCCAGCCTACACCCCAGCTCCCAACCTACACCCCAGCTCCCAGCCTACACCCCAGCTCCCAGCCTACACCCCAGCTCCCAGCCTACACGCCAGCTCCCAGCCTACAACCCCAGCTCCCAGCCTACACCCCAACCTACACCCCAGCCCACACCCCAGCCTACACCCCAGCCTACACCCCATCTTCCAGCCTACAACCCAGCCTACACCCCAGCTCCCAGCCTACACCCCAGCTCCCAACCTACACCCCAGCTCCCAGCCTACATCCCAGCTCCCAGCCTACACCCCAACCTACACCCCAGCCCACACCCCAGCCTACACCCTAGCTCCCAGCCTAAACCCCATCTCCCAGCCTACACCCCAGCTCCCAGCCTACACCCCAGCTCCCAGCCAACACCCCAGCTCCTAGTCTACACTCCAGCTCCCAGCCTACACCCCATCTCCCAACCTACACCCCAGCTCCCAGCCTACACCCCATCTCCCAACCTAAACCCCAGCTCCCAGCCTACACCCCAGCTCCCAGCCAATACCCCATCTCCCAGCCAACACCCCAGCTCCTAGTCTACACTCCAGCTCCCAGCCTATACCCCAGCTCCCAGCCTACACCCCCAGCTCGAAGCGTACACCCCAGCTCCCAGCCTACACCCCAGCTCCTAGTCTACACTCCAGCTCCCAGCCTATACCCCAGCTCCCAGCCTACACCCCCAGCTCCCAGCGTACACCCCAGCTCCCAGCCTACACCCCAGCTCCTAGTCTACACTCCAGCTCCCAGCCTATACCCCAGCTCCCAGCCTGCACCCCAGCTCCCAGCCTACACCCCAGCTCCCAGCCTACAACCCAGCCTACACCCCAGCTCCCAGCCTACACCCGATCTCCCAGTCAACACCCCAGCTCCCAGACTACACCCCAGCTCCCAGCCTACACCCCAGCTCCCAGCCTACATCCCAGCTCCCAGCTATCAGCCTACACCCCAGCTCCCAACCTACACTCCAGCTCCAAACCTACACCCCAGCTCCCAGTCTACACCCCAGCTCCCAACCTACAACCCAGCTCCCAGCTATCAGCCTACACCCCAGCTCCCAACCTACACCCCAGCTCCCAGTCTACACCCCAGCTCCCAACCTACACCCCAGCTCCCACCTACACCCCAGCCTACACCCCAGCTCCCAGCTATCAGCCTACAGCCCAGCTCCAAACCTACACCCCAGCTTCCAGTCTACACCCCAGCTCCCAACCTACACCCCAGCTCCCACCTACACCCCAGCTATCAGCCTACACCCCAGCTCCCAACCTACACCCCAGCTCCCAGTCTACACCCCAGCTCCCAACCTACACCCCAGCCTACACCCCAGCCTACACCCCAGCACCCACCTACTCCCCAGCTCCCAGCCAACACTTTAGCGCCCCCCTGCACCCCAGCCTACACCCTAGCTCCCAGCCAACACCCCAGCCTACACCCTAGCTCCCACCCTAACCTACACCCAGCTCCCAGCCTTAAGCTGACACTAGGCGAAAAGATCCGTGTCGGGTAGTTTAAGATCTATCGAGAACAGCTTTCAATTTGTTCTGCTCGTCTCAGGCAGGACTGTCTGGTGTTGGAACAAAATATGCTCAGCGAACGTCTGGGAGTTCCTTACAATCGGCGCCACGAGAACAAAGTCCACAGTCACTGCCGGAGTGCTCAATTCAAATTTAAGTTTGGCCGACAAATTCCGAGTGGCTGGGTAAAAAAAAATCTGGGGAACATTGAGATTGGACACCAGCGAGAAAAGTCTCAAAGGTATTTGAGAGGTGTATAAATTCATTTAAAAATCATGCACAGCGTAGTTACAATTAATATGGTTATAAAATCCTGCCTGTCTGGTTTTTTTCGGACTTTACTAAAGATTGGATGTATTTGATGTTTATAATATTTTCGGTAACTAAATAAAAATTTAAAAAAAAAAAGCAAAAACAATTTGGTTTTCACGTGTAATGGCGACATAAACAATGGCATCCTGCTATTGGATAGGCCGCCATTGATCCTATTGTACACATTGTAAGCTAAAAATAGAAAACTAGGTCATGGGGTTTTAAATTTGCATTGTTATTTAAAAACTTGACCTGCAAAGTTTTGTAAACAAATAGTTATCGATCACTAAGTTACTGTGCAGCAAATCAATATTTGTTTTACGAAAGTGAAACATCCGGTTATAACTTAGGCTTGATGAAAATAAATAGAAATGTAGCCTTAAACTCAACAAATTATTTTCAAGTTCTCTGGATTTGCAACTTTTATAGCATTTATTCTAAAAATATAAAATTTCTAAATTAATTTTAGGCTTAAGTTTTTATTTTTTATTTTTTTTTTACGGTCTAAATCTAAAAAGCACATTTTTATTCCATGTCAACAACATTATGGAAGGAATCTCGTCAACTCGCTCGCCTCCATTAGTTTTTAGTTGATAGTGGTAACTTTCAGCCACCAGCCATTAAATAGTCGTTACAGTAGTATTTTTAAAAATAATTTGCTACCTTGAATTCATATTCAAACAGTGGCATAAGGGGGGGGGGGGAGTTCTAATAATTAGCACAGTTTTTGTAAAGGTTTCCGTTTTCTATGTTCCAATATTTTAAAGAAATCACAGTACTACTAAACCTATTAAAATGTGATGATTAGTAATCTATCTTATTAGATTAATATGGTAATTCACCACATACACAAATTGAACGATATCACTAAAACTGACAAACACATCCACTAAACCACCAAATCTACTATTGACTATTTGGTTCGAATTAACGAATTTTATCGATTTTCTAAAACTTATTAAAACTTATTAAAAATATCTAAAGCGTGTCCTTCCTAACTCCCGCATATAAAAAAAACTACCTTAAAATACTACTTTTTTAACATTACTAAGCAATAAACTGGCATTTTAAAAAGTCCAAATTTTAGACACGGCAAAAGATTAAATGGCATTTAATGTTTACTAAGCCCAAGAAACCGCCATTCTATTATTTCTCGAGTTATATCCCTTGATTAGAAAAAACTGCCTGGCAGAAATTTATGATGATCACCAACATTGAAGAGCTCAGCTTTAGACGCCTTTTCGCGACAACTGAGCAGACGGCTAATCTTTTTAAGCGACATACTAGTAGCAGGGGGAACAACTTTGGCTATTTGGAGGTAAGTCGGCGACAATGTGACACAGACACTGGATACACGGAATGCAGGATAAACGATACTAATGTCGCAGGGTAGGGTTAAACGTGGAGTGGGTTACCTTGGAAGGAGAAGACACGAGAGATGGTGATGAAGTTGATGAAATACGGGGAGAGGATAAGCGGGATAACTCTGGGGGTTCATGAACGTTGGCTTCTCTCCCTTGGGGCAATTTGATATCCGGTTTTAGGTGCGTTAGTGTTAAAAAAAATCCTAGAGGGGTGAAGGAGGGGTGATGTTCGGGGTAAAGGCGAAAACACAAGGGAATATTTTTTAAAAGTATGTTGTCTAGGTGTATACATTATTAAAGTAAACCAAAGTCTCGCTAGACAAAACATAAAAATAGATGTGAAGACGTTATAATGTTAGGGGAATATACAGTTAAAGGTAATATATAGTATTGGCGAAAATCCAGTAAAGGGGTCTTCATTAAATGACGTCACGCTTTTTTTTTACGATTTTTACCCCCCCCCCCCCTCTCTGTCACACACCGTCACAAAAAGCCAGACCCTCCCCTAAAATGACGTCACACCTCAGCCTACAACCCCCCACCCCCCCTATTCCTATTACAGTTTATTAAAACAGTGTGACGTCATTAATGGACGACCCCCAAAGGTAAAAAGGTAATGGCGAAAATACATTAAAGGTTAAAATATAATGGGAATGTGATAAGGTGAATAATTATGTGGGGGATATGTTTGTAAGTGGGAACATAATGAATAAATTTGGGATTCATTTTCTATTTTTAAAGATTGTAACATCTTACATATATATATATATATATATATATATATATATATATATATATATATATATATATATATATATATATATATATATATATATGTTGCATGTTCAAACATTTTCATGTTTATAAGTGGCCAGTGTGGCAAAGAATGGTCACATAATAGTTTTTGTAACTAAAATGGTCCTTGAAAAAATGGTGTATTAGATTCTGGATCTATGTGGACACATATCGTGGACACACAGGGTGGACACAAATGATAGACATAATGTAGACACATAAGATAGACATAATGTAGACACATACGATAGACATAAAGTAGCAGAGGCGTAGCGACCCTACCCGGCGCCCGGGGATAAACTTTCAATTTGGCGCCCCCCTCGGGAGAAAATTTTCACCCCCCCCCCCTTCAAACTTTCGATTTGCACCCTCCCCCTCAAACTTTCGATTTGCACCCCCCCCCCCCCTTCCCCTCAAACTATTTATAATGCAAAAATGCAGGTAAAATGACATTTTAATTTGTTTCTACAACCCATTTTTGCGCCCCCTAAGGTCGGCGCCCGGGGACATATGTACCCCCTGCCCCCCCCCCCCCCCCCCCATCGCTACGCCTCTGTAAAGTAGACACACATGATAGACATAATGTAGAAACATAAGATAGACATAATGTAGACACATAAGATACACATAATGTAGACACAAAAGATAGACATAATGTAGACACATAAGATAGATACACAAGTTGAAAACACACTTGTTAAATAATAGATACATTTTCATTTTAAACCAATCTTGTTTCAAATATGGCCAGCCCCTAAAATCTATGTTAAATTTGTGAACAAATTCCTATTCATATAATAAAGCCTATAAAAAATTTAATTTTAAACAAACATTCTTGAGTTTTGTATAGAAGCCTAAGCCTATCGAGTTTTATAAAAAGAAAATAAACAATTGGGGATTTTAAAAAACTTTTTTTTTAAAGTATTGTTCGACATTTTGACAAATATCTTTCAAGCAAATAAAAGCTTTTAAAATAATTGTCTCTTATTTTCAAGTGACACTTTGATCTCCCAGTAAACTCAAGTACAACAATACTGGCATTACCGCATTCCCATAGCGCGAGGAGTTGCATCCCCTGTCTCTTAGACAGGTGCGGTCTCTTGAAATGTCTATTGTTTGAAAACATTCCCATGTCAACAAGGGCGATAACTCATTTTAACTATGGTTTCTGTTTACACCGTGTTTTTTTTAAAAGCGAAATTTTGTTTCGTTTATTTTTTCTAAATAAAAAACTTAACCGATTTATGCAGTAAAAAGCTACGCTGCTGCATATTTTGCGCATAGGACGAGATCTCCCGTTTGCCATTAATCATACATATTTTCACACAAAGAACAAATCCCCCCCCCCCCCCCGGACCAGCCCTTGCTACGCCAGTTGTAGTGAAATGTTTTATTTTTAATCAAGTAGATCTCTCGAGTCTATAAAAATTTAAGAAAAAGTCTTTACAACAAATATCCTGCTGTACCATTGAATGCCGCTATTTAAGAAATGTAAAGGCTAGTCTCTGCTGAGCGTCCCATCTCTTTAGGTAGCTAGAAGTATGAGATAGTACCCAAGCTTAACCTTTGAACAAGACGAATATCATCTCTTATCTTAAGGACTAACAGTCAGTTCTGTGCCTTTTTCTTTGTCAGCTGGCCAATGTGGAAAAAAAAAAAAACAAAAAAAAACAACAACAACTCTTTTAGCCATTAAATTACAAACACTGATTCAGGAAGCTTGGGGAAAAAATGAAAACATCCCTTAAACAAAACCCTTATTACGCCACTACAAATGTAGTCCTCGGGGGTGGGGAAAATAGGCGGACTTGAAAAACCTAGAGATCAATTGACAAGCCTAACCTAAGCTTACCTAACCTAACCTAACCTAACCTGACCTGACTTGACCTGACCTGACCTAACATGACCTAACCTAACATGACCTGACATAACCTAACATGACCTAACCTAACACGACGTGACCTGATATAACCTAACATGACCTGGCCTTACCTAACATGACCTAACCTAACATGACCTAACCTAACATGACCTGACTAACCTAACATGACCTAACCTAACACGACGTGACCTGATATAACCTAACATGACCTGGCCTTACCTAACATGACCTAACCTAACATGACCTAACCTAACATGACCTGACTAACCTAACATGACCTGACCTCACCAAACATGACCTGACCTGACCTTACCTAGCCTTACATAACCTAACATGATCTGACCTCACCTAACATGACCTAACCTAACATGATCTGACCTAACATGACCTGACCTTACCTAACATGACCTGACCTGACATAACCTAACATGACCTGACCTAAGATGACCTGGCATAACCTAACCTATGCTAACCTTTTCTAACCTAACATAACCTGAGCTAACCTAACCTAACCTAACTACCTAACCTAACCTGACCTAACCTAACCTTCACTTCCCAATAAATTGCGAGAACTGTACGTTCAATAGTTAAACCATCTCAATGTCGACAACAGTTGTGTATTATGTGATGTTGTGATCTATGAACTGGTTATAGGTTGAAGGCGAGATATATTGTCAAAATAACATTTTTACCTCATATTATTTTTCTAACCTCACCAAAAAGATCTAGTCGAAATATAAAATACATAATAAATTTGATAGCCATTTTGGCGCCATATAAGATTAGCATACGATGAAGCAAGGATTAGCGATTTCACACAAATCTGCCAAATCTTGTGCTTAAAAAAACAAGGTCTAAAAAAAAAGTTTAAAATTTTTTTTATTAGTCAGGGTCACTAGATCTAAGCTACTAACTTGGGTGGTAGGGCATAGAAAATCGGACGAAAAATAAACGCTACGCTATTTTCAGTGAATGATTTACACTGACTATATCAAAAAGTGGATTACTTCCATCCTGTGCGATCCCGTTAAATGGAGACATTAAACGGAAACATTTTCCGTGGCTGTTTTTACTGTTTTTCGACAACTGTAAAACTAAACCTTAAACGAACGGTTTGACTCTAATCCCGCCTTTCATTGCGCGGAGAAACGCTAGGTCTGACGAAATTCTCGATTATTATTTGTTTCAATAAAAAGATAATCCGTCTTTTGTCGTGGCGACAGTCTGGTGGCACAAGATGGTGGTAAAAATATTTTTTATGGGATAATCCGTAATTTTATTAGAGTATGTGAATGAAATGAAAATTTTATCGTTGGAACTTGACGCAGCCGACGCCACAAATTTGTGAGAAGTTCAACACGAACTAAAATTTAATGTTTGTGTTTTATAGTTGGACTGAGAGAAAAGATTTCCACATCCGTTTATTGCAGGACTGACTAAAAAAATCTATTTTAAATCTAGGACACGGATCTAGCCGGGTGCAACGTAAAGTGAGGGGGGGGGGGGGGGGGTTAATGGTCAAATAAATGGTGGGTTTTTACTGATTCAATTGGATGGCGGGTTTCATTCTAGGGGTTTCATGCTAGGTCAAAAAAAAAAAAAAGGGGCAGGGGTCTCATGCATCCTGGCAAGGTGTTTGTTTCTGTGATGTTTATAGTTGGTCATTGTTTTTAACTAAATTGAAACAACAAAAAAAAAATGATTTTGCTTGGACTAACACTGCCTAATCCTAATAGACCTGTTAAAAAGATAAACACAGTACACAAAAACCACCTCTATGAAAAAATACTAAAACAGTAAACAAAACGACCACAGTAAAATGGACCAACACAATTAATACGACAAGATAAATAGTTTATTGTGAAATGAAGAATTAAAAATCATTACAGAACTATTTATACAAACAAAAAATGTCCACAATAAAATTCTGTACAGTTCTCTAATTTTATGTACATGCCAACTTGAGCTATCAATGAATGCTTCATTAAATTGTGGTTTGTTTTTTTACAAATTATTTTAGTATATATTCATAAAAACAGAACTAGCCAAGGCCGCATCACATAAAAAAAAAATATTTTAAGAACAAGAATAATCAGGTGCATAGGAGTTTTAAAAACATTAATAAAAAACATTTAACTTTATGCATAGTTAGTATTTATAAAACTTGATCAGAATTTATTTTGGTGCCTATCAGCACCTGTACAACAGAAGATACACCCTTAGATTAAATGACAGAGCTATACATTTTCATCCCAGGGACAGTTTTATTGATTTCAACAAAAATACATCCACTGAATAAGTTTGAATTTGTTATACTAATATTGCTACTAAATAAAAATGTCTGCCAAGATTACCCCCCCTCCCCCCTCCTCGACTTAGCTTACATTGGCAATCAGTGACACAAATATTTTTAAAGCCATCACAGAACTAACCAGTACATTCAAATCTTACATTCACACAAAATATTCCACCTTGTATAAAAAAAAATATGAAAATATTTTAAAAGTTTTTAAAAGGAATCTTTCAATAATTTTATGGATGACAAAAAAGGAAGTCCACAAAAAAAATGTAACAATCTAATGTGGGAAAATAAAATTAGTTAAGGGTTCAAATAGTAAAACATATAGGGGAGGTAACAAATGAGCTAAAAAAAACCATGGATATTACTGCGATTATTATATGAAAAGTAGAAATTATGACTAATTAAAAACATAAAAATGTTTTATTTTAAAATTCTGTGGCATGCTGCATTATGTTAGAAAGATATAAAAATATTTAATATTGAATTAGGTACCACAAATAAAACTTGGATTTGAACATGAAAATTGAAAAATCAAATATACTTTAAAAATATGATTACTTGAAAAAAATTATTATATAAGTAGGTTTATAAGTAAAATAAACATTTAAAAAAAAAATCATGCCTTGATACACACTGATTATTTTTAGGTGATGATCTGAAGATTTTAGCATCACATATTTAAGCAGGCTTCAAGGGTGATCAATTAAAATAAGTATTATATTTTCTAACATATCTTTCAACTTGGTATGGTAACTATTTTAACGAGTTTGCATAAGGGAAATAATTTAAAACATTTTCCACCTTTCTATAACAGGTGAACAGTCTATTGTCTGAAATTTGGTATTCACATAAAATAATAAACGCATCCTAAAAAGGGAAAACAGTGTTGTCCTATAATTAAAAATATAAAAAAAAACTTTTCTTTTGAAAAAATATATACTGGAAATACCTTAAATCCTGTTGTTTTTTTTTGTGATTTAAAAAAAATATTAAAATTTCCAACATTATGACAAGCTGGAGTATGTTTCTATTATGGTGTTACAACAGGCTCTCAAAAGTATTTTAATAAAACATCATTTAGAAATAACAAGCACTAAAGTATCACAAACTATTATTATTTGGATAGTCAGTCAAAACGTGACAAAAACATGCAGCATTGTTATACCTTAGAATAAGAAAAAACTCACAAACACAACAGCATCTTGTTTAGGTACAAAGGTATTATTAAATACAACGTGATCAGAGAAATAAATGCTGCTGGCGTATTCAAGGCCTTAGGAACTGTATAAAAAAATAACATGTCAGGAAATGTAAGAACATTTTTTTGTAAACAGATTATGAAAGACTACAACAGTACTGATGGAAGACGTGAACTCATTAACCATGGTAATTAAAAAAGTTAAAGATAACAAATACCAGTTGATGAATGTGAGAAAGCTAACAACATGACAATCTGTTCTAGTGATCCACATGTAGGAATGTTAGGAGAACTCTGTAGCAGAAGTTTTTACTAAGTGAAACAAAAAGCTCAACACCAAGAATTGTTGTAGGAGACTTTTTTAAAATTAATTTTTACCTGTTTCTTTTTATTTTTAAAAATTATACTGCTAGCAACCTATTTTAAATCATGATATTTGTGTTAATTATTTTCCCCAAAAAACTATATTTGACTACCAGACCACATTAAAATGATATAATAATTCTTATTAAAATATATTTTATGCTTATATTTTTTAAAACAATTTCTTATTAGTATTAGACATTTTTTTATTTGATGATTTGAGACACAAGTTACAGTAATATGAAACATTAATAGACTTATCAAAGTGTATTAAAAAACTTACAAGAATAAATCCTAAACAAAGCTACACAAAGTTGAAGTGCACAAAATATCCAAACAATTTTAGCACAAAAAAAAACAGTTGATGTCAGCATTTTTCTATTTAAAAATCATGCAAATTTAAATAACCAGTGTAAATGGAGACCCAACATTTCCTTTTTTTTTCTTAATCTACAAACATTTCATAATCGCTGAACAATGGCTATTCAGAGCTAATTTTTATCAATATATTTCACATCAAAGGAAAAAGTGCTGTGCATGAACAACAATAAACCCAACACTTGTAAATAAACAACAGCCAACAGTACACAACAATTCTTTGGTCAAATCCTCCTTAATAAAAAACAAATGGAAAGTATATGGCACAAAACAATATGGTTATTGAAAAATGTAAATAAAATATAATTTCACACTTCAAGTTGGCTGAGGAAGCTGTGTAAAAAGTGTTGAAGGCCTTTTTTAAGCATCTAAAATATATTTTAATTTATTATTATAGATAATCTTTTACATAAGTAAATATCTTTAAAAAAATCTTTTCTTACTTAACCCTATAAAGCCCAATGTACTAATTATACCAGATTGATAACCAAATTTTGTAGCCAAATTTGGTTTGCTTACTACCTTAAAAGTAACTAATTACTTTCTATAACCAACTATTAACTTTAACAGCTTGGAGATTGTTTTTTTTTCAAGAAATGTTATTCCAGATTTGGGATTTAATTCAACTGAATGTGTTCCAAAATTGTTCTGGATAAAAGGAAGGAAATAATGAAAATAATTTAAGCTTGCCTTTATGTAAAATAATTTTCAAAACAATTTTATATAAAAAAATATTTGATAAAACAAAGATAAAAAATATTCAATTTTTTGTTGTAAAAAATTTGGTAGACAGTTGTTAAAAATAAAGCTGGGCTATAGAGTGTTAAGCCTGACAAGTGTCTTATGAAAAATTAAAAACACTTGAATGAAGCATGCAATAAGTCACCATGATCCGAACTGATATCCCAAGACAGATGGGCCAGGTACGAGAGTGGGATGAGCACAGGTAAGAGCCACAGGTGGAAGAAAGAAATTATATTTTATTTAACACATTTTTTTCTTCATGGACCTATACATTAACCCTTTAATTTAAAAGCTTTAATGGGGATCACAGAATGTATGCCAAAGCAGAGAAAACCTTTCTATCAAGGCTTTAGTAATAATGAACAACTTGAGAGGGACAGCACTCCAAACTGTATCTTTAGTTTACATAATGATAAAAAGGGAAGTAACTATCTTCAAAGAGCAATTATATTCATTTATGACAGTATCTGTTTCACAATTAGACTGTTGTCTTCAATCACACCTAATGAAGAAAATATTGTACTAGCCCTCAAATGACAGAATTTTGTGAAAATCAGCCATTACTTGGTATAATTTGAAATCCAGAAACAAAGCATTATGTACAAACATCAGAATCACCTGTAGTTTAAAACTATATATAAATGTTTGGCAGATGTATGGGAAAAATATATTGACAATAAACACATAAGTAATTTACATTGTTACACTTGAAGAACAAAATATACAACAGCTGTAGAAGTAATAATATTGACTGTACTGTACCCATGAGTTTTTATAAAGCTGTTTACGTTTGGAAGCGCGTAAAGTGAAAACATTTTTTTTTCTTCAAGTTTTGTCTTTCAACATTTTCCCTGGTTTAAAACACCAAGTGAGTCAAAAGACAATTAAAAAAAACAACATTCAGCTGAAAAGTGGTACCCAGCATGAAAAAATGTCAATCTATGGAACATCATGAGTTAGCATTTACAGCGTAATATACATCAGCTTTGCTTATATGACTATGAAGAATTAAATACACCTGCTTGATACACGTACGGCTGTTTAAAACACTCAGGGGTGGTAAAATAGCAAGACAGCTGAGTCAGGCTGTGGTGTAATAGGAGGTGGGGAATGGAAGGAGTGACTGCCCAGGTGAGATGTTGTTTGAAGCTACCAATAAGTAGGCCAGCTCTCTAGTTTTAAAGACTGAGGCGGGTCAGGTTGCTGACCCCCTGACCAATAGAGGAATCAATAGAGGAATGACATAGCTGTGTAGTCTACCCTTGCTAACAGGATTATAGGAGAATTGTAGCTTTAGTCTCTCCTTGCACACAATACTATGATAGAATTTTAGGTAGTTTCTCTTTGCACACAATATTAGGATAGAATTTTAGGTATAGTCTCTCCTTGCACACAATATTATGGTAGAATTTTAGGTAAAGTCTCTCCTTGCACACAATATTATGGTACAATTTTAGGTAAAGTCTCTCTTTGCACACAATACTATGATAGAATTTTAGGTAAAGTCTCTCCTTGCACACGATATTATGGTAGAATTTTAGGTAAAGTCTCTCTTTGCACACAATACTATGGTAGAATTTTAGGTAAAGTCTCTCTTTGCACACAATACTATGGTAGAATTTTAGGTAAAGTCTCTCTTTGCACACAATATTATGGTAGAATTTTAATACTCTCCTGCTCACTCAGGCTCAGGGTAAAATTGTAGATAGTCTCCCCTTTGACACAGGCTAAATGTAGAATCAGCATAGTCCTCCCTTGCATGCTAGGTTATGGTAGATTTGTGGGTGGTCTCCCCTTGCACAAAGGCTAACCGTTTAAATGTAGTTATATTGTCTCGCTTTATATCCAGACTAGCCATTATGGCAGAACTGTAGGTATATAGTCTCCCCTTGCATTCAGGCTCTCCAAATTGCTTCTGAGCTGAGTAAATGTAGGTCTGTCATAAGCATTCTGAAACACAAAAACGTTAGCTATAGAAGTCCCTTAACACAACAACATAAGCTATATAAGTACCTAAACACAAGAACATAAGTTATAGAAGTGCCATTCAAACACCACAACATAAACTATACAAGTACCATTTAAACACAGCAGTACCCTTTGGTTCAATTTTATTTTTAGTGTTACCATTGAAAAAAATCTCAAATCTGGTCTAAATCATCAAGATTTTTAACAAATTAACTTCCAATATCTACTACTAGTACACAATCAAATTCTGAATTATTGACAATACCATTCATCATTAGCCATTCTAGAAAAGCAAATGCCATGTGGCTGAAGACAAACCACTACTTTTTTTTTTAAATTGAAAGCAGTATAAAATAAAATAAAACATATGGCTAATAAACAGGAACCAAAATTACTTAAAAGTAGATTGAGACTTCCAGTTTTTTAATAGGCATTTCAAAACTCCTTTAAAAGAAAAGTTCTGTCCACTAAGTGACACTGAAAATGGTATGTTATTTATGGTAGGATTTTGTCACAAAATGACATAGGCCTACGGGTGGGAAAGAGAGACTAAGAGAGTTAAAATGCTACTACTATTTTTATCTGTTGTAAAACTTCCAATAATTAAAACAGATGAATAGGGGTCGGCGTGGTCGAGTAACTAAAGCTCATGGTTGCTAAACCAAAAAGTCTCGAGTTCGAACCCTCGGGCAGATGAGGCTCGTTAGCTGGGGAAAGCCTCTCTTCTAGGAGAGAAAACTCCAAAATCAAACAACTGCTGCCTTGTAGTTTGTTCTTGGTTGGACAAAGGCTATGAAAGCAAATCCAAAAGGAAAAGCAGGCTGAAATCGAAGTCAATGGCCTCAATAGCGCATAACCAGTTGACACGTATCCTTAATTGTGATGGAAGCGTGGTCGAGTCGACAAAAGCTCATGGTTGATAAATTCGAAAAAAGTCTCGAGTTCAAACCCTCTGGCAGAAAAGGCTCGATTCCTTCCAACACTAAAAAAAATTAAGAACAAAGAAGAAGAAGAAAAAACAGATGAATAACTACACATAACCCAACAAAACTGTCTTCTTACCGTGGCCCAGCATCTTTTCATGACTTCAAATACTGGCACAGGAGCTGCTCTAGGCATCTCTAACCTCTTGCCTTCCTCAGCCACGTATTTCAGGACTTCGGGATTTGTCATGCCACTGTAAGGCATCTCTCCACAGGAATAGATCTCCCAAAGTAAAATGCCTGTTAAATTAATACGATAATTAACTGATTACAGTCTGGGGTATAAAAACCTACTTCTAAGGCCAGGCAAAAAGACAACGCATTTTCAACAACTAGATTTTGAAAAAACAATTATTAAAAAATAGCTAAATTTGTAAAAATAATAAAAAGCATGTTATACAAAATTGGTAAAGCCTGATTCAACAGCAGCGGCATTTAAATTAGTTTTGATTTCACTAATTATAATTTATATTGCCTGCAATTTTGAAAAAGAAATTCTCTAAAATTTAGAAAAATTGTAGAAAATGAACTACTGATAGTACAAGAAAACAGGGTAAAAAAAAACAAACAACTGATTATTTCCCAAATTCCACCAGTATCATAAAAAAATCTTGTTACTAAGTTTAAATAAATGTACTATACATAGTTTGGGTAAATACAGACTGTACCACAAAAATAAATTTTTGGGTGATTGATGACGCATTAGACTGTAAAGGGTTAATATGAAAACATTTCTCCACCTCATGTCCTTTGACATGATCAATGAATAAATTAGATAAACATTATTAATAAAAATTCCGGGATTAAAAAATAATTTTTTTAAATTAAATTTCCAGCTTAGCACTTAAAAAAAGTTAGTTCTAGGTAAAAAACAACTATGTGTTATAATTTTTAACTTTAGTTTTTTAGATCTTTAATTCAACAAGTTACAAAACTTTATTTTCCGAGTGTCCCATCAACTCACCAAAAGCCCAAACATCAGATTTACTGCTGAACCTCCGATGGTAAAGGACTTCAGGGGGAGCCCACTTGAAGGGGAATTTTGTTCCTTCAGACATTTGGTAGTCATCATCTTCTAATACAATCCTGAAAATAACATAGAGATTTGCTTCAAGAATGTTCAGAATACTAAGAAATTGAAATTTTAAAAGGGTAAATTATTTACAATACTAAGATGAAAACATTGTATTAAACTAAGACAAGAAAAATGTTCTTCATTAAATATTACAGTGTCAACATTACTAAAATAAAACATTACAATTTACATTATTAACAAATGAACTAAATCATTACTTATTATTTAACTAAACATAAACATTAATTACTTAACCAAAATAAATTTAAAAAAAACGATCATATTTATTTAAAAAAAAAATTAATAACCTAGGTAAGCTAAAATATGACTTATTTCTTGCTAGATTATTACTAAAATATTACTATAACACAACTGAGACATGACTAATTAAGTAGCTAATTAGAAAGTTTACTAATTACCTAGCTAAACCAAAGTCCCCAACTTTGACGACACCTTCATTACCAACCAAACAGTTTCTCGCTGCTAAATCTCTGTGAATGATGCTCTTCCTATCTAAATACTCCATACCACAACAGACCTACAGATAGTACAAAGAAAAAGTCAAAATATAATTTTAAATAAAACCTCTTCAATAATGTTTTGCTTACTTTTAATTACTTTCAACACTAAAATGATAGATTTCTTTTTGGCGCCTTACTGGTTTTATTAACATGGTAAAGTTTAAGTCTAACCAGTGTTTTATTTACAGAGAAAACAGTGGTAAAACCTGGTTAAAGAGATGAACAAACAGAGAGAACAAAAATGTAGTTCTATAAAATACTTGGAGGTTCTTGAGTAAGAATATTATACTGAAGCTTAAGCTGAAGAAAGAAATATAGCAGGAATTGAAGCTAAACAGTAGTTTAACTAAACAAGAAACCATTACAAAACCTGTATTCTCCCTCAGTCTCAACCCAGTCACCCCCTCATATACAGGCAGCTGACAGATAACTCTATCATGGGCTATCAAATCTGCTCATTGTAGTAACCATGGTAACCCATCAGTGTCACCATAACCAAACAACAGCACCACATTTTAAAACTAGTGCTGATGAGGGCGAAGTTAACTGCCAATAGCCCAATATGGAGTACACAAGAACAGTCAGCTGATGGAAGAAAAATGTTACCTGCAGTCCAAAGTCCAGCAGCTTGCTCTGGTTATAGAACAACTTCTGTCTGTGGCGCTGCAAGTATCCATTCAAGGCCCCTAAAACATTACAAAAAAATAAATTTGTTACAAAAATGTGAATCGTGTTAAACTGGGTTCAGTTCTGGGCTGCAAGTTTCCATTAAATTTCAAGGCCCCTAAAATGTTACAAGAAAATAAATTTGTTACAAAAATGTGATTGTGTTAAACTGGGCTGCAAATATTTATTCAAGGCTCCTAAAATGTTACAGGAAAATGTTACAAAAATGTGATTGTGTTAAACTGGGTTCAGTTCTGAGCTGCATGTTTCCATTCAAGGCCCCTAAAATGTTACAGGAAAAGGTTACAAAAATGTGATTGTGTTAAACTGGGCTGCAAATATATAAGGCTCCTAAAATGTTACAGGAAAATGTTACAAAAATGTGATTGTGTTAAACTGGGTTCAGTTCTGAGCTGCATGTTTCCATTCAAGGCCCCTAAAATGTTACAAGAAAATAAATTTGTTACAAAAATGAGTTTGTGTTAAACTGAGGTCAGTTCGGGGACTGGATGGCCACTCTAGAAAAATAAAACAGAGAACAAATGTCTCTATAGCCAGTATAACAAGCTTTATATGTAACCATTACATATTATCCCAACCCAACATATGTCAGGTACCTGAATAAACTGAGTAACCTTATCAGGAATTATCTACAGACCCAGACAGAGTGCCAACTTACTATCAGAATGAATAATCTGAACCCAGGATGGCAGGCAAGTATTCTACCACTACATCCCACTGTGTGTTTTAATGACTTTGTGACCCCCCCCCCCCCCCACACACACACACTTTAAATACAGTTGTTGTTAGGTTACATTTGCATCCATGTTTAGTCAATACTAACTGATGAGAGGACATTAAGTGCTAAAGGACTGCTATGGAATTAAGTGATAGAACTACTATGGAATCAAGTGCTAAAGGACTGCTATGGAATTAAGTGATAGAACTACTATGGAATCAAGTGCTAAAGGACTGCTATGGAATTAAGTGATAGAACTACTATGGAATCAAGTGCTAAAGGACTGCTATGGAATTTAGTGATAGAACTACTATGGAATCAAGTGCTAAAGGACTGCTATGGAATTAAGTGATAGAACTACTATGGACTCAAGTGCAATGGGATTAAGTGCTATAGAACTGCTATGGGCTTAATTAAGTTATGAAGGACTGCTATAGAATTACTGCTATGGAATGATGTGCTATGGCATTGCTATAAAACTACTATGGGATTAAGAGCTATAGAACTGCTTTGGAATTATATGCTATAGAAATTCATTAAGAAGACTTCAGTAGAAGAAACTTGCTGAGATTTTCCTTTTAACTTAAGACAAGTATCACAAAGGTCATGAGACATGCAAGATTCATCCTCGTAAAATCTATTTGATTTCAAGTGTTTCTAAGTAGAACATCCTATTATAAAACACACGATGCTCAGTACTAGGAAGTAAACATAAACAGTGAATGGAGAGTTGTAGCCAGCCCTCATATTCCCACTGTTGAAATCATCACAGATATCTGTTCCCATACTACTTGAGCCAAGACTAGACAAGCCAGGCTCAGAGCTGCAAATGTTGGGGTGACTTGAACGTTCAGGAGTGGCTTCTGTTACAAGTGTCACTTCAGACAACAGACAAGCTGGGTCACTGGTTTAGTGCTGATGTTTATCTCTATACCACACCCCGACTGTGCCCGATGTGGTGTGTTGTCATGCCCTCCACTATAACGACATAGCTTTTAGGCTACAGCTGTAGCAACACCATGTTGGTAGTTAGTTATAATATCAGTATATTTCTAATTGGGGGCAATGACAAAATACTATTGTATATACATTGTACACATTGATGCATGTGGGCCACTTAACCTACACAACATCCAACATGGAAACTCACACAACAAAGTATGGCCACTCCAACAACCAACATGGCCACTCAGACAACCAACATGGCATTTCACACAACCAACATGGCATTTCACACAACCAACATGGCCCCTCACACAACCAACATGCACTCACACATGGCCCCTCACACAACCAACATGGCCCCTCACACAACCAACATGGCCACTCACACAACCAACATGGCCACTCACACAACCAACATGGCCCCTCACACAACCAACATGGCCACTCACACAACCAACATGGCCACTCACACAACCAACATGGCCACTCACACAACCAACATGGCCACTCACACATGGCCCCTCACACAACCAACATGGCCACTCACACAACCAACATGGCCACTCACACAACCAACATGGCCACTCACACAACCAACATGGCCACTCACACAACCAACATGGCCACTCACACAACCAACATGGCTCCTCACACAACCAACATGGCTCCTCACACAACCAACATGGCCACTCACACAACCAACATGGCCACTCACACAACCAACATGGCCACTCACACAACCAACATGGCCACTCACACAACCAACATGGCTCCTCACACAACCAACATGGCCACTCACACAACCAACATGGCCACTCACACAACCAACATGGCCACTCACACAACCAACATGGCCACTCACACAACCAACATGGCCACTCACACAACCAACATGACCACTCACACATCCAACATGCACTCACACATGGCTCCTCACACAACCAACATGGCCACTCACACATGGCTCCTCACACAACCAACATGGCAACTCACACAACCAACATGGCCACTCACACAACCAACATGGCCACTCACACAACCAACATGGCTCCTCACACAACCAACATGGCCACTCACACAACCAACATGGCCACTCACACAACCAACATGGCCACTCACACAACCAACATGGCCACTCACACATCCAACATGCACTCACACATGGCTCCTCACACAACCAACATGGCCACTCACACAACCAACATGGCCACTCACACAACCAACATGGCCACTCACACAACCAACATGGCTCCTCACACAACCAACATGGCCACTCACACAACCAACATGGCCACTCACACAACCAACATGGCCACTCACACAACCAACATGGCCACTCACACAACCAACATGGCCACTCACACAACCAACATGACCACTCACACAACCAACATGACCACTCACACAACCAACATGGCCACTCACACATCCAACATGCACTCACACATGGCCCCTCACACAACCAACATGGCCACTCACACAACCAACATGACCACTCACACAACCAACATGGCCACTCACACAACCAACATGGCCCCTCACACAACCAACATGGCCACTCACACAACCAACATGGCCACTCACACAACCAACATGGCCACTCACACAACCAACATGGCCCCTCACACAACCAACATGGCCACTCACACAACCAACATGGCCACTCACACAACATGGTCACTCAAACATGGCCCCCTCACACAACCAACATGGCCCCTCACACAACCAACATGCACTCACACATGGCCCCTCACACAACCAACATGCACTCACACATGGCTCCTCACACAACCAACATGCACTCACACATGGCCCCTCACACAACCAACATGCACTCACACATGGCCCCCTCTCACAACCAACATGGCCACTCACACAACCAACATGGCCACTCACACATGGCTCCTCACACAACCAACATGGCCACTCACACATGGCCCCCTCTCACAACCAACATGCACTCACACATGGCTCCTCACACAACCAACATGCACTCACACATGGCTCCTCACACAACCAACATGCACTCACACATGGCCCCTCACACAACCAACATGCACTCACACATGGCCCCCTCTCACAACCAACATGCACTCACACATGGCTCCTCACACAACCAACATGCACTCACACATGGCTCCTCACACAACCAACATGCACTCACACATGGCCCCCTCTCACAACCAACATGGCCACTCACACAACCAACATGGCCACTCACACATGGCTCCTCACACAACCAACATGCACTCACACATGGCTCCTCACACAACCAACATGCACTCACACATGGCTCCTCACACAACCAACATGCACTCACACATGGCCCCTCACACAACCAACATGCACTCACACATGGCTCCTCACACAACCAACATGCACTCACACATGGCTCCTCACACAACCAACATGCACTCACACATGGCCCCTCACACAACCAACATGCACTCACACATGGCTCCTCACACAACCAACATGCACTCACACATGGCCCCTCACACAACCAACATGCACTCACACATGGCTCCTCACACAACCAACATGCACTCACACATGGCCCCTCACACAACCAACATGCACTCACACATGGCTCCTCACACAACCAACATGCACTCACACATGGCCCCTCACACAACCAACATGGCCCCTCTCACAACCAACATGCACTCACACATGGCTCCTCACACAACCAACATGCACTCACACATGGCCCCTCACACAACCAACATGGCCACTCACACAACCAACATGACCACTCACACAACATGGTCACTCAAACATGGCCCCCTCACACAACCAACATGGCCCCTCACACAACCAACATGCACTCACACATGGCCCCTCACACAACCAACATGCACTCACACATGGCTCCTCACACAACCAACATGCACTCACACATGGCCCCTCACACAACCAACATGCACTCACACATGGCCCCCTCTCACAACCAACATGGCCACTCACACAACCAACATGGCCACTCACACATGGCTCCTCACACAACCAACATGCACTCACACATGGCCCCTCACACAACCAACATGGCCACTCACACAACCAACATGGCCACTCACACATGGCTCCTCACACAACCAACATGCACTCACACATGGCTCCTCACACAACCAACATGCACTCACACATGGCCCCTCACACAACCAACATGCACTCACACATGGCTCCTCACACAACCAACATGGCCACTCACACATGGCTCCTCACACAACCAACACACACTCACACATGGCTCCTCACACAACCAACATGCACTCACACATGGCTCCTCACACAACCAACATGCACTCACACATGGCTCCTCACACAACCAACACACACTCACACATGGCTCCTCACACAACCAACATGCACTCACACATGGCTCCTCACACAACCAACACACACTCACACATGGCTCCTCACACAACCAACACACACTCACACATGGCTCCTCACACAACCAACACACACTCACACATGGACCCTCTTACACCCAACATGGCCACTCACACTGACATAATTGGGCCAAGCTAGTTCAACACCTACTGACACCTGTCTACATTAACAGCTGATTCTGTTTCACAACTCCATTAAGGATAGAAGTAGATAGACCAGGAAAATATCTGCATGCTACTTCATGCTGTATATTTCACTTCCTGGTTTGAATACCAATTAAAATCCTTGACCCTGGCTAAGTACACGGACAGGCATCAAGGATTTAAAAGTCTAGGATATAATTACACAAACTCTTACAAATAATTTAGAACATGTGAAGCTCTAGTTTTTTGGAATAGAAGGCCTTCGTCAGAAGAGCGATAAAATGAACAGCTTTTGTATTGTAAGGAGGCTTTGTTGGCTTGATACAGGATGTAAGGATGTCCTGTTTGTGAGGATTTTATTGTTTAACAATATCCATATTACAAAGTTGTCATGTTTAGAGATTTAAGGATTTTGTTAACAAGATCATTACAATCACCGTTAGAGGGGGAGAGGGGGGGGGGGGGGGGGGTTAAAATTTAGTGGTGTGTGACAAAGATCAGGAGAAAACTTAATTAAATTCAAAAAGGCGTCACTGTCACATGAATTAAAAATTCAAATTTTCAAGCATAAATTAGACCAGGTTAATGATGTATGCTGACAGTTTGATGGACAGGTAGAGCAGTAAAAAATCTCAGCCTTGTGTTCCTCCACTCTTGTCTAATAAACACATTCAGTTTTATAATTTGTATGGGGGGGGGGGGGGGGGGGAAGAAGATAAAGAGAAGGAGTAAGTGTGGCCCTACATCCACCATTTATCCTTAAAGAGACAGACCCTGTCTCCCAACCCCCCTTATCCAAGTACGGTTGATATTTATAAGCAAAATTGTATTTTAAAAAACTAGATTTTTACAGTAATCAATATAGATAAAGGCATGTTTTTTAATCATGTTGACATCAGATTTATATATATTATTTACATCAGATAATGAGCATATAGATATTTTAAAATTTAATCAGCTTACATCTAAAGATATTTTTAATCCTTTTGTGAGTCTACTATTAAAAAGTATTTTATATCTTGCGAGTGCTATCTACTTTAGACAGCCACACCAACAAAGTATGAACCTAATCTGTGATGAGTGAATATCTACTGAAGTATGAAGCACCAACAAAGTAAGAACTTACCATGTTTTAATAATTCTGTGATGATCATCTGAGGCTCCTGGTTTAAGATGACCCCATAGAGTTGGACTAGATTTGGGTGACTAAGCTGCCTGAAACATAGAAATATGTACATATATATTTACATATTCACAATGGTTACACATCACATACATGACGAGTGTGGCAGTTCAGGTACAGCTCACAAAACAACTGAGCTAACAGACAATGTCCGAGGTACACAATTTTTTAAGTCAGTACATAGATGAACTGAACTAGGTACAGCTCACAAAACAACTGAACTAACAGACAATGTCCGAGGTACATAGATTAACTGAACCAACTGGCACCTGGACAATTTACCCTACACAGCTTATGATAGCAGTGTACTAATACAAGACACCCCCTACACATAGCTGAACTAAACCACACCTTCGGAACCATTTCCCATACACAGCTAAATGATAATAGTGCAGTAACAATACAAGAGCTCCCCCCTACTTAGGTGAACTAAACTAAACAACTCCATACTGACAACAGATGAAACAATCAAATCCCCTCAATATAGATGAAATAATAATTAGCTTTTTGAAACATCTTACGTCATTGTCTTGAATTCCTGAAACACCTCATCTGATGATGGTTTGACTGTCATTTCTTTAATAGCTACTGGCATAGCGATGTTTCCATTTTTATATATACCCTCATATACAACCTAGAAGAAGCAACAGTACGGTTATCAGGGTGATTTTCATAACTAACCAAGGAATACCACAGAAAGTTAACACACAGAAAAGTATCTACAATGAATTTCTGATTAACTTCTTGTGTAGGTTACAGATGAGGTGTAGAAAAAGATCTGTTAAAAAATATTACCCCAAAACAACCCCGTCCTAATTCTCGTCCACGTGTCAACAAGCTTGGATCCAGATCCCATTTGCCTGGGTGAGAGAAAAAATTATCAAGGATGGAGTGTAGATGGAGGTAGAAAGTTATTGTTGTTTCACTTTGAATGATGTGGAGTGTAGATGGAGGTAGAAAGTTATTGTTATTTCACTTTGAATGATGTGGAGTGTAGATGGAGGTAGAAAGTTATTGTTGTTTCACTTTGAATGATGTGGAGTGTAGATGGAGGTAGAAAGTTATTGTTGTTTCACTTTGAATGATGTGGAGTGTAGATGGAGGTAGAAAGTTATTGTTGTTTCACTTTGAATGATGTGGAGTGTAGATGGAGGTAGAAAGTTATTGTTGTTTCACTTTGAATGATGTGGAGTGTAGATGGAGGTAGAAAGTTATTGTTATTTCACTTTGAATGATGTGGAGTGTAGATGGAGGTAGAAAGTTATTGTTGTTTCACTTTGAATGATGTGGAGTGTAGATGGAGGTAGAAAGTTATTGTTGTTTCACTTTGAATGATGGAGTGTAGATGGAGGTAGAAAGTTTATCATTGTTTCACTTTGAATGATGTGGAGTGTAGATGGAGGTAGAAAGTTATTGTTGTTTCACTTTGAATGATGGAGTGTAGATGGAGGTAGAAAGTTTATCATTGTTTCACTTTGAATGATGGAGTGTAGATGGAGGTAAAAAGTTTATCATTGTTTCACTTTGAATGATGGAGTGTAGATGGAGGTAGAAAGTTTATCATTGTTTCACTTTGAATGATGTGGAGTGTAGATGGAGGTAGAAAGTTTATCATTGTTTCACTTTGAATGATGGAGTGTAGATGGAGGTAGAAAGTTTATCATTGTTTCACTTTGAATGATGTGGAGTGTAGATGGAGGTAGAAAGTTTATCATTGTTTCACTTTGAATGATGGAAACATTGAAAGATGTTGAATGTAGATGGAGGTAGAAAGTTTATCATTGTTTCACTTTGAATGATGGAGTGTAGATGGAAGTAGAAAGTTTATCATTGTTTCACTTTGAATGATGTGGAGTGTAGATGGAGGTAGAAAGTTTATCATTGTTTCACTTTGAATGATGGAAACATTGAAAGATGTTGAATGTAGATGGAGGTAGAAAGTTTATCATTGTTTCACTTTGAATGATAGAAACATTGAAGATGTGGAGTGTAGATGGATGTTGATAGTTTATTGTTGTTTCATGTATTTATTGTTGTGTGAGAAAGATAATTTATCATTTTTATGCTCTCAATGATGGATTATAACATTGAGTGTGAGAAGACAATAGTTTATCACTGTTAAACTCTGATTACAGGATTATAATATTATTAAGAAGAAAAGGCATCTATGTATTCTTTCAATGATGGATTTTTCAAATAATTAAGATTAAATGCAACTCACTGCGACTGAAACCAGCGGTGGATGGTGCATCACCTCGTGGTGGAGGATCTCGCAGTCTGGTGTAGATACCTGGAGAAAGTAATTCTGTCAGTTAATTACAGGATGATACAGATACAATCACGTTATATGTAGGATAAATGAATTAATAATAGATTTGTGTGAGTTAATGGTTTCTTGTATGAAGTGGCTAGATATAATAACATGCAAATTGTGTCAGTGAAATGAATTTAAAAGGAAACAATGACTATAATTACACACACACACACACACACACACATATATATATATATATATATATATATATATATATATATATATATATATATATATATATATATATACATATATATATATATATATACATATATATATATATATATATATATATATATATATACACACACACACACATATGTAGTTTTCTGCTGTAGCCATCCTACCTCCAGCATTGTACTTGTGGTAATGCACAAGCTCCTGAATACTGTTATGTGGGTAGTTAATAGATATATAATACTGGCCGATCTCATTGCGCTTTATTTGATAATGCCTCACATTACCACCGCTATGAAAAAAAAAATACCAGATTATTATTATTTTTCAAATGTAGGACACAAACAAGTTGAATACATCAAAGACAATAAAACAGACTTAGTGTTTATATAGAGTTGACATACTTTTCTGTTGTAAAAATAGAGAGTGAGTATTCTCCTGGACTACTAATTGATTCCCTCACTAGAAAACAACCTTCTTTTCCTGCTGCTGTCAGCAAACTTTTGCTGCGCTCCCGAGAGCAATCTTTATAATACCATCTGAAAGACAGATAAAACTTGTATTTCAACACCAAAATGCTGTATTATTTCTTAAAGATTATAGAAGTTTTAACTAAATTTACTGAAAGTTTCAGATATTAGATTTGCTATTATATTACAGTTAAATGCATAATATCTATATAAAATATACAAAACTTACTCAAATACTTCAAGACCACAATTTTTCTTGATATAATTGGAGGGAATATAACCTTCTTTTCTATTTAAAAATAAACACATTTTATTTGCTTTGTCCAAATTTTTAAGGTTACATTTTTAAACATTTTCATAGTTATATTTAAAGTTAAATTATTTTTGTTTACAAAAAAGGTGACCATGTTAGGTGGATAATTTTGATGCATAGATATTGTGAACAATAAAATGTGTGTCTGATGTTTGATGAACAAAAAAATAAATTCAGTATTGATGTTTGGTGAATAAGATGGTATAATCTTGATATTTAGTGAACAATAAAATAACATAATTTTATGATGTAAACAAAGTAATGAAACCAGTACAATCTTACCCTTCTCTATTCTTGGCAAACCACCAATTTTCTGCTGAGTCTTCTAAAATTATGTACTGTTCACCCTAAGAAAACAAACTTGATGCTTTAGTACACTTAAGCTAGATCTAACAGATTTTACACAAACTTTATAGTACACTTTAGCTAGATCTAACTGATTTTACACAAACTTTATGCTGCAATACACTTAAGCTAGATCTAACAGATTTTACACAAACTTTATAGTACACTTAAGCTAGATCTAACAGATTTTACACAAACTTTATAGTACACTTAAGCTAGATCTAACTGATTTTACACAAACTGTATGCTTCAATACACAGCTAGATCTAACAGATTTTACACAAACTTTATGCTTCAATACACTTAAACTAGATCTTATAGATTTTATACAAACTTTATGCTTCAATACACTTAAGCTAGATCTAACAGATTTTACATTTGACACAAACATGATGCCTCAGTACACTTAAGCTAGATCTTACAGATTTTATACAAACTTTATGCTTTAGTACACTTAAACTAGATCTAACAGATTTTACACAAACATTATAGTACACTTTAGCTAGATCTAACAGATTTTACACAAACATTATAGTACACTTAAGCTAGATCTTACAGATTTTATACAAACTTTATGCTTTAGTACACTTAAACTAGATCTAACAGATTTTATACAAACTTTCTACTACACTTAAGCTAGATCTAACAGATTTTACACACTTGACACATTTAACACAACTTTTAAGATAAGCAAGATATGTTTCCGCATGGTGTATCTTATTACGAAATTTTGTCAACAGTGAAATGTACATTATGTCTAAAATCAACAATAAAAATTGTTAACATATCACCATAAATTATGGTGATTTAGCAAAAAAAAAAACCCACCAAAAACAAAGCAGTATATAAATTGATATAGGTTTTATGACTTACTGCAATCAGCTCTAAGCCCCAGTCATCTGTGGGCTGATAGTCATACACAGCTATGTATATTCTGTCGTTGGGGCGTGGAGGGGGAGTAGGGGGTGGTACAAGACTGTTAGAGGATGGAAGGGTATCTGAAATAAACAATAGGCATTATAAGTACACAGTGGGTCAAAAAACATTGTAAGCACACAGTATGATTGAGTATGTCTGAAAGTTCTAGTTATTGTAAGAAGACAGTAGTGATTGTAAGCACACAGTATGTCTGAAGATTCTAGTTATTGTAAGAAGACAGTAGTGATTGTAAGCACACAGTATGTCTAAAGACACAAGTTATTGTAAGCACAGTGTGCTAAAAGAGTGTTCTCATCCAAAGTAATTTGAGTGATTTCTATAGAACAGTTTTATACTTTTGAGGTTACTGAAACAGCTCACAAGTGAACTAGGATACAATGAGCTGAGAACAGTTTTATACTTTTGAGGTTACTGAAACAGCTCACAAGTGAACTAGGATACAATGAGCTGAGAACAGTTTTATACTTTTCAGGTTACTGAAACAGCTCACAAGGGAACTAGGATACACCGAGCTGGTAACACCTGAATACACCAGTCTGAAACCAGGCAGGATAGATCAGAGCCAACTGTCAACAAGGGGAATAACTATTTGTACATCAATTGAATAAGCCAGCCAGGATATAATCAAAGTTTTCATGACAATAAGGGGAATAACCATTTGTACATGTGATGAATTAGTTTCATCTTCAAAAGACCTACCCAGCTGTCAGAGTCTATAACTGAGCCTACCAACACAAAGACCTACCTGTAAGTTTGCACCCTATGGCATTGCGATTTGACTGATCACAGCAATTATAATAGGAAAGTTTTTTAGTCCACACCCCAGGATGGTATTTGTTGAAGAACTGGGCGTTAGCTTTTAAGGCCCCTGAAACAGTGTAACACAAGAAAGATGAAGTTACATTGTGTTATTATGACAGCTTTGTATCATGCAAGTGTAAGATGACTGTTCAATTTTGAAAAATATTTACATTTTAAAATGATATATTCAATGTATTCATGTATTTTGCGTTTTAAAAAAGTGGCGAAAAGTAATTTTGTTTTCTAATTTAGAAACCATATCGAGACGAGTACATGATACTAAAACAAAATTCCCCAGCTTTAATCACAAGCTGTAGCACTTAGTTCACTCTGCTATAATAAGCACTTGATTCAAGAAGAGTATAGAAAGGGTATCTCGGCATTCTGATGATAACACTATCCTTTTCAAATGTTGAGGTCAGAGAAACAGATGAACTCTACTCCATCTATCCCATGGACCGCCCAGTCTAAAAGGGTTCTTTACTTTTTGTCTGGCTAAATATGTTGTTGTATGTAAATTATCTTAATGACAAACTCTGGAACAAGCCAGGTTTTCTGAAGATACAATTGACTGCTGACCACAGTTTAAAAAAAAAGATTGCGCAATGTCTTATGAATCAACCTATGTTATTTTGTCTTAAGAATCAACCTGTTATTTTGTCTTATGAATCAACCTGTTATTTATGATTGTGAAGTCTGCCGATTACATTTTATTACCTGTTCTAATAGCATCTAACCATGCATACCGCTCAGCATTACTACTCGCAACTATGTACAGGGTACAGTAATCCTGCTTCTCAGAATACACAATCTGTAAGAAAGAAACATTAACCTTAGACTTCATATTGCTCCATCAATGAGTACAGTAAAACCTATAGAGCGCATTTTTTAATTATGTAAATTTTCCCTTACAGGCAAAAATCAATTATGCTTATTTCAAATAAACAACGTGACATATGTTTTACATGTTTAATAAAAAAAAATATGTACATATGTCACATATTGATGGTGTAACATATTGTTCACACAGACAGTGCAGTTTTTAACCTCAGAGGCAGGTAGGTAAGAAAATAACAAGTCTCATGGAGCTAATGAGCTACTTGATACACAGCGCAGGCACGAGACACTGACATGCTATCTACAGTAGTCAGCAAACTTCCCATGGTCAGTTTAAGGGGCGTGATGAAGTGGCAGCTTCATAGCATAAGTGTGTCAATGTGTCATTTACATGGTGTATTTTATTTAAATAATTAAGCCCACCTTCTGCCTCAGAGTAAAACACTTTACAAAAAAACAACACAAACATGTAACAGGTTATTAACGAAATTCAGTGAAGACACTAATGACAGTATTAACACAATTCAGAGAGCATTAACAAAATTCAGTGTATGATGGCAAGATATCAATGACAGTACTAAAATAATTCAGAGTGTACTAAAAAAAAATCAGTGCTGAATGCCAAGCGATGGTATAAATATAGCGATGGTATAAACACAATATAGAATTAATCATCTGAGCCAAACCTGAAAAACATTGTCCTTCTCCTCTAGTTTCTTGTCCTCAACCTCCATTACAACTTTCATTAAATCAAGTGGTATTTTACCTTTGATTTTACCTGAATTCTGTGGTAAATAAGATACATTTTTTTAATACATGAAATATAAAGATTAAAAGTATCTTGACTAAACAATCAACATCAGTATTTTTAATTAAAAAAAAACAAGGAAATTAAAAATTTTACCTGTAAGTCGCCCTCATAGTATGACAAGCTGGATTTAGTTAACTTAAAGAGTCTATTTTTGTAGTTCTGTACGCATAATGTTTTTCTTTTTATTACTGCTCTTTTGGATAGAACCCCTTCTTTTATAACAGGGTCTGACAATCCATTGGTCAATTTGGAAGCCATTTTCCAGCAACTTAATTGCATCGAAGCTCTGGAAAAATTTAAAAGTTTTATAATCTGAAAAGACCAATACAAAGTAGTAAAAAATTATTAAAAAATGTCAATATATTAATTTACTTCAACTGTGTATCTAATCTAAAAAATGCAAGCGTTAGGTCTAAAACCTTCTGATATATTGCATTTGCTATATAGGTGTAACAGGATTATGAACAGACTACAGAGACAAATAAACAACTACAGTTTTGATATGCAAAAGTAAATGAGATACATGGGTATGCATCAAAGCAGCTACACTACTACAAGCACTACAGTACAAACAATAAGCAAAAATTAAAGGAATAATTTTGTGATTTGACTTATTCTTATACCGAATAATATCCAATTTCGGGCTTTTATTTTAATTTAAAACAAAGTTTTATAAAGCTATTTCATATTAAAATAGTGTTGTTCAATTTGTTTTGAAATAAGGGGTTAAATATTTTAAGAAAATCTGTGCTTATTAAAACTTAAATACTATTTATAATGAAAGTTATAACAATGCACAATCATCAAATACGATTTTTTTTTCTTGAAAACACTCAGCAGAGAAAATAATGTTTAGAATTACCACAAATCCATTAGGAAGAGTAGTTGGTCATCCAAGTCTGTGACTAGCCTCAAGTTGACCATCAAACTAACAACTGTTGTAAATAAAAATAAATACAAACCCTCAGGAGAAGTAATGCCTATAATAAACTAACAATGTTACTTCAATTTTCAAAAGCAACTTTTAAACATTATCCTTCATGAATGAAAGATAACTTTAAAATTTAAACTTATGGCTACATATTATTCTTCATTTGGCAATGTTGCTAGATCTAGTAAAGGGGAGATACAGAAATTGGTGAACTATCAATTTGAAAATAAATAAATTTGGCATACATTTTTTAAATATTATAAAATTGGTTGATACAATTGAAACCAAAGGCCACCAACAAATTTTCTTATATTAGGTGGTATGTACTTCAGTATTACTTATATAGAATTTACTGGTATTTTGTAGCATGGTGTTTGTAAAATGTTGCACAATGTGACAATAGAAGTAGGTAGATATGGGGGTAAACGTGTGCCTTATTAAACCAAAATAACATGTTCATTGCATAAAAAATTGTTTAAAATATTATAGTGTATGGCTCCTAAATATTATCCCTAACAATTAGAATTAGTAAAACAGTTTTAAAAAAAAAATTAAAGGGTATACAGAGATTTTTTTTTTATAATCATGGGCTAAAGGACATTGTATAAACAGTGAAACATGATGCAGTTAGAAAATACTAATGGCTGTAATATGTTGGTTTATATACTGCATTATCCTAGTGGTCAGTTGTTTTTTGGGGGGTTAGCTCTGTATAATAGTTTATAGACTCACTGACAAAGGTTATTTTGACACAGTTAACTTAGTGACATAAAACATGGGTTAGCTAATGTAGGCTAATGGCAATTATGGTGAGTGGTTTTGTTTTAAATTTAATGTAGACACACAGGCAGTTAGTGTTTTATTAAACATTTTTAAAATGATGTTATGGTTATTCTGTTCAAGCTAAATTAATCCACACCCAGAGTAAAGAAGGAGATGCATGCCAAGGAAAGAATAGAAAATATAAAGAAAATAAACATAATACAATGTAAATGAATGATATGACATATCATTAAAATTATAAAAGGAAATTTATGTATGTATGTATGTATATATATATATATATATATATATATATATATATATATATATATATATATATATATATATATATATATATATATATAATAAATAGAGTAATAGAGGTCCTGGTAAATGTTTCCCACATGAGAATTATACAATTAACAATATCTCCAAACAGTTTTTTTAATGATATAATTTTTGCAGAGGCGTAGCGACCCCTCCCAGCGCCCAGGGAAAAACTTTCAATTTGGCTAAAATGAGCTTTTAATTTTTTTCAATATATTTTGGCACCCCTAGCATTGGCACCCGGGGACATATGTGTACCCCCCCCTCACTACGCCTCTGAATTTTTTAGTGAAAATGCCAGACTATGTTCCACCTAAGCTTTGTGCGCAGTGCTGTGCAAAATTTTTTAACCTGCCACGCAGTCATTTTGTAAAATACAAATATCCTTTTATAAGACTTTAAGAACACTTCGCACATACATGTTGCAACTCAAGTTTTGTAGATTGTAAAGTAATTTAATTTTAAGACAAAATTTAATTAAGTTTAATAAAAAAAGTTCCTTGCTGATAATAAAACTAACCTATTCTCGTCCAGTTCAAGTGCTGCCTCATAATGACTCAGATAATGTCTCACCTAGCTACTAGTAATGTTATTTGAGGGGCTGTGGTCAACTTTCCCTCTAAGGGGAAAAAGCTAGAGTGCAACTTGTTTTTTGTGTGAGTCGTGTTCTAAAAGTCTCATAGAAAGATATCAGCCTAGGTTTTTTAAAAATGTCTGTGCGGCAGGTACACGGCAGCGCAGCTTAGAGGGAACATAGGTTGTGGTCTATGGAAATGTTATAGGCTACCATCGTTACTGGGTATGGATAAAATGGGTTTGAGTGAGATTCTGTTAACTTTAATTTTAAACATATTAACATAGATTCATACAAATTAAAGGGGCTACTAAAAACTAAAAATAAATATTAAATAGGGACTTGATTTAAATCCAAAATTGACCAAAAAAATCCTAATCAGACAGATGTGTAGCCTGGTAAAAACTATATTTGGCCTAAAATGTGATTAAAAGTAACAACAGGAGTAGTAGATCTAACTAGATCTCTAGACCTAGCTAGTAATCTGGATATGATTAGTTCTATTGATCTATTCTTAATATTTTAGATCTAGATCCTAATACTTAATAGTAGTAAATAGTAAATTACTAAAATTAGTAAATAGGTTGTTAAGAGTTAAGTCAAGTAGTAAAAAGTAGATCTAACTTCTAAGAATAAGATCTGGATTCTAGATCTAGATTCTACTAGATTCCACTTTAAAATTTAAATGTCCAAATGATCAAAACACAAATTTCTAGTAGCCAGAACTAGATCTAGAGGATCTAGATAAATCTAGATCTAGTTATGATAAGGGCAAGGGGCAGAAGTTTAGATAGCTTCGATACTCTAGTTATATAACGTAATCTGTAGCGAGCTAAATAAAGTAAAGGGAAGCGGTAGATAAGTACACTTGACATAACTACTGAGTTGACGGGACGACACACCAACCACACACGTAACTTTTTAAATTCACAAAATTAATTTATAAATAATTAATTTGTAAAATATGAGGTTTTAATACAAGTTGCCAAACAGCGAACACAAAGCTCACTTACAAATTTCGTTAGTGTACCCAAATTAATCAAAAGACGAAAAACATCACCGTTGTTAACAAATGACTTTTTGGATAACCAAAACCAAACACATTTCAATAAGTTACTAACCAGGAAGGAAAGCGATGTTGATTCTTCCTTCTGCAAAGTAAAAAATTATAACCGGAGAGTTTATTTTTTTGTAACGAAATGTGTTCAGGTCTTCATAGCAAACTCAGAAGTTTTTGTCATGACATTGTAGGTCAAAGATAAGATCTAGTTTAAAATACCCGATTACATAACTTTTACTAAGTAGGGGTTCAATTTTAATTATCAATGGCTAAAATGTTCATAGTCTATTACATAACTCTAAATGGAATTTATGGTTTAAATTAGTTTAAAACGCGTTGGCTTTATTTTTATTATGACTAGTCTAACCTGCTGCAGATATGGGTGGAATCTAGTTTTAAAATGAGTCTAACAAATAGGCGAGTCAGGGCCCCACCAAGTTCCACCACTAAACACTCATACCATAAAATTAAGTGCCCGGAGAAATTTTTTTTCTCAATGATAGCCCAAGGGCTATTTTTCTCTTGTGGAAGGGGGGGGGGTTGTCAAGATAACCCACTTTTTACCAGAAACGGACGCCCATTCTCACACTTTAAAATTAACCAAACTTCTCCAAAAGTCCAACAGATTTTAATTTCCGATAAGTACAAAAACTACAAGGCCATGTTGTCCCATTTGTCAACACACTACTACACCCCCCCCCCCCCCCACACTCCCTTCCAAGACCGTCTCGCATCAGCAATAACAAGTGTTTTAAAATGTAACTAAAAATTAAGTCTAAAAATTATATTTAAAATGTATACATGTGACGGCACGCTTTTTAACCCCCCCCCCTCCCCCAAACATCTCCACACATCGTCACCAAAGTTCGAACTCTCTCCCAGGAGTGTGACGTCCAGTGTTTCTTCCAGACTTTTTTCTCCGGGGAGGGGGGCGGTAGAATTTCTTCGGGACGGGGGCGGACACTGTTAAAAGTATATATTTTCTATATAAATTTCATTTCGTTCGGGGGGGGGGGGGGCGGTAGATTTTCTTCGGGGGGGGGGGGTCTTCCCAAAGCTAAATTTTAAATGACGGTTTTATCGTGTGTGTTTTAATGTTTACACTTCCATCATAGTGACAGGGGCGCCGCTTTATACCGATATTTATGCCGTATGTCGGTACGAAAAGAACTCCCCTAGTACAAGTGGGCGTCTTGGGCTAGAGACTGCAGGTTTTCTTCTAAAAGAGCGTCTCTCATTTTTTTTTACCCCACCCATGTCTCGGCTATTTCAGGCCAAGCTAGAAAAATGGCTGCAATTTATAGCTGTGTTGCCGGATAACAAAAATATCAAATTGTCCTGGCAACTTTCAGTGGCGTCGCAGGAGCAGGTAAAAACCGGTACTTTAGTTAAGTGTGTCACCCCAACGGAAAATACATGTTGAATTGCATGCCATACCATACAAATTGATTAATCCTTAATCTGAATCTGATTATCGTTAAAATCATCATTTATTAATGCAAATATATCACGTAAACTTGGTAATTTGGTCTACTTGGTATCACCCCGCAAGATGGTGTCACCATTGAGCATAGTTTCTTCCAGGCATCTCTTCGGGGTGGGGGTGGGGGGGGGGGGCGGAGCCCCTCCGAAAAAAGTCCCTCCCCCCACCCCCGAATGAAATGGAATATATATAGAGAACATATACTTTTACCGGTGTCTGCACCCACTCCCCGGAAAATGTCCACCCTCCCCCGAAAATATATGCGAGGTCTCCCCCAGCCTCCTTTACCCCATGGTACTTACTGCTTCTAGTTACTTCGTTGTTACACCTAATAAAACTGTTTTCTTCGTGTGAAATGATCCATGACAAAATGATCATCGGTTGAATAGCTAGTAGATTAGCTACGGATCACGAATCACGGGCACACATTGAAATTTTCTTTCAACGATAGAACCATTGTAAATTTAGATTTGTGTGCAGGTATATTTTATAGATAAGGAGACTACGGGATGCATCAATAAAAATACAAAGCCCCACGAAACAAATGGATGGGGGATAGTGTTATCATATGTACAATTTTGTTAGCATTCAGTGTCCAGCCTAAATGGGGCATCCGTAACTGGCGTCACATCCCAGATGTGAGAGTTTGACCATTGCTGCAACCGCCTGAACTAATCTTTGTGTTGTCTGCTTGTCGAGGATGAAGTTACAGGTGATAGTAGAGTCTAGGTGAGTACATTCCTACACGGCCGTGAGCCTGTCATTGCCTATGCTAATTTCGGGAGTTAAAAAACTTTCCAGTACTAAAAATTCTGTTTTTCTTAAAATAATTTTAGTCTCAACTAGTGTTTATCATATATATATATATATATATATATATATATATATATATATATATATATATATATATATATACTGCACACACATACACACGCACGCACGCTAACTCATGCGCATGGTAATGGGTCTTGAACAAAACAAACAAAAAAAAACGCTGCTGTTGTTTTGATTTGAATTCGAACCTAGATCAGCTGGTCTATTAAATAGCTATAAAATCTCTTTGAAACAAATTGAGAAACATGACGCCAGATGGTACAAAATCGATTTTTAAAACAGTTTTCAAAATCCGTTGATCTTAAATCTGTAGTGAATTTGTTAAAAATCAGTCAATTGTGCTTAGTAGGGCAAGAAGAAAAATTCATATCTTAATAAATAGTTGTTATTATAGCATGAAAATTGGATGAACTATTAGGCCAAGCTTGATCTTTAATTAGAATATCTTAGTGTTAGTTAGGAGCAAGCCGATATTAGGGAAATCTACTTTAATTAGGTGTATTTGATGATATTTTTACAATATTTGCATGTTTGAAGTATTATTGTTGAAGAACAACTTATTGATGTTTATTGTAATTTGTATCATTGTAAAGGGAATTGTCTGTGGTTTCAGAGGAGATGCTTATTAGAATTTTAGGAGATCGCGTTAAGTTTTTATATAGGGTTATTTGGGGTCGGTTTGCACAAAAGCGGGGGAAATTTTCACAGGTAAGCGTTAGAATTCGTGCCAAGAGCAAGGTGTCATCCGAGACGCTCGCGGGTGGGGTATATAAGCCGGTGCGTTAGCCTTAGAGGGGATGGAGAAACGACGGCCCTAGCCAGTAATTTATGCAGCACACGTATTGGCGCTATAGTCTTGTTAGATGCGCGCTACACAGACAATTCCCGCTCAAGAAAGATAGTCAAATAAAGATTTGTAGAAGACGGCTTATTCTTCATTCTTGATCGTCTGTGACTGTGACTGAGAGTGAGAAATAGAAGAGAAGAAGAACGTTGCTATTGATAGAAGCAAGAATATTACAATAGAACAGCATATTTTGAGAGCAGTAAAAACGTTACATTTGGTGGCAGCGAAAGAAACGATCTTTAACACGCAACCAGAGAGACTGACAGCAGGCCAGTAGTACAGAGGAAAAAAATGGCAGATATTGAACTACAGGCTCAAATAAGAAACCTGCAAGAAACGATTAAAGAACTCAGAGTCGCTAGACAAGATGAGCGACCATTAAGTATGAACCAGGCGTTACCACAATACGACGGGTCAGCACCATTCCAAGTGTTTTGGAACAAGTTTCAAGCGATATCTCGCATTAACAGCTGGGATGAAGATAGACAGCTACTGCATCTACCAGCTTGTTTGGAGGGGAGTGCGGCCAACATTGCATTTCTTGAACTCACTCAAGTTGACCGAGCAACACTTGGAACGTTTGTCGCAGCACTGAGCGCTAGATTTGACACCAGGGTGGGCACCGCTACACATCTGACCAAGTTAGAAAATAGAAAGATGTCAGCAAGGGAGACAACCGCTGAATATACGTCCGATGTGAAACGACTGACGGCCATGGCTTTCCCGTCAGCTGACCAAGCGACTAAATCAACAGTTGCACTGCGCTATTTTCTCAAGGGGCTACAAGATCCTCACCTCGCAGGTATCATTGCCGCCCAGCGCCCAGTTAGCACAGATGAGGCCAGAAACATTCTGGACGAATACCTCAGTGCTAGAGACTGCACAACAAAAACGAAAATGTGTTCGGTGCAGGAGCAGAGCCAGATAGATAGCCTACAGCAGGAGGTGAAAAGACTACAAGAAATGGTCAGTAATCAACGTAGGCCCAGCGACTCGGGATGCTACACTTGTGGGGGCAGACATTTGGCTAGGAATTGCCCAAGAAATAGTAGATTTCAAGAAATGAACCAACGTCGGTCAACTAATAGAAACAATTATCAAGCCCGGCCGACCCAATCTACAGCCAGAATAAATGAAATCCGACGGAATGATACAGATAACAATGATGAAAATCTTTTAGGCCTTAACTTTCTGAAAGTAAAAGCCGCGGCAAGCAACAAGCAAGTGGACGTGCCAACAGAGATTTCAATCCGTAGTGTTGCCCCTGGGTGTTCAGTAGTGGTGACTGTAATGGTAGCAAGACACAATATGATGTTTCTGGTAGACACGGGCGCTGCTGTCACTGTCATGTCCACAAGAGCCTTCAACAAGTTACCACAAGCCATTAGAAACAAACTTCAACCCATGGACAAGAAGGTCACACTGCAATCTGCAGGGGGTGACAGAATAAACTGTCTAGGCACATGTACAGTAGATATGAGAGCTGGCAATGTTGTCACAAAGTGGACAACAGCCATAGCTGACATTGAGGAAGATGGTTTCTTAGGGATGGACTTCCTAATGAAATATGAGTTTCAATTTTCGGCTAAAAATGGCTTATACCTCAATGGTAGAAGAGTCCCAACACAGACCAGAGGCAGAGAAAAGATGTTCAAAGTACAAGAACATCGATGGCGGTCCAACTTCTACAACTTTAATGACGCAGTTCCAAGAAGCACACAAAATACACATAGAGTGGCACCAGTTGCCGCAATATTGAAAGCTTCTATTACAGACCAGAAACATGATCGATTCTATCTGCGTAAGGGTCTACTGTTTTCCCAGCAGGAAATTCGGAAGGCACAAAATGGTGATCATATTTTGAAGAAGTGTATTTCCTGGGTGCAGAACG